AGAGGGTTGTCTACAATTATCTGGAAACTAAGAAAGAAAGAAATTTTTCCTCGTAACGCTTCAGGTTCAACCAGCCAGTTTACACAAGTTTGATGCTGCATGACACGAATGAATTTCGAACGTCACGGCAGATAATGTTGGTTATTATAAAGTGTTCTTCAACTCGTTGGTTAAAATATAGGACAACAACAACCATTCCATTCACAGAAAGACTAAACGAACAAACACGGATTTGATACATATCCATAAACAATACACTCATCCACTCTAGAAAAACATTAAAAAGGAATTGTTACAGTGAATCATCCGATATATATATATATATATATATATATATATATATATATATATATATATAAAATCGCCTGGTTAACTAGTTCACTAGTTACTAGCCGGTCCTAAGCTAGGGTAAACAGGGAAGGCTGGGCATAGGGCTACCAACCCTACCCCCTAAAACAAATCCAACCACTAAAGAAACTTCAAAACACAAACGAAATATAAAAATTAATTACAAAATTATTCCTCACTGGAATCGGAGAGGCGAAATCACGCCAGTTGGTGAAACCCTCCGTGAATCTAATTGGCCAATGTGTCTTCTCACTCTCGATGAAAACGAGAGTAAACGTGAGGACATGGAATGTCGGCAACCATGTTTGAACCCAACAAGGCAGTCCAGATTGCAAACGAGATAACGAGGTATCACATTCAAGTGCTTGGAATTTGCGAAAGCAGATGGAATGGAAGTGAATTCTCCAAACTGTCAACTGGACAATCAATAATCTACTCCGACATTGTCACACAGACGACAACCACAAGCACACTGAGTTTCGGAGTGGCTATCATGATGTCCCCAACAGCATCGAAGGCTGTCCCTCATGCAGTGGAAACCAATCTACTCCAGGATCATAACAGCAATGTTCAACTCAAAAGAAAGGAAGGAAGGAAGGAAGGAAGGGAGGAAGGAAGGTCACAATCATACAGTGCTACGCTACGCACCTACAAATAATGCACAGCAAGAGAAAAAGGAGGAATTCTACAGACAACTGCAATCAACACTGGACAAGACACCACCTCAGTTGGCGATATCAAAGTTCATTCTAATGGGCAGGGTGACATGAATGCCAAACTGGGAGGGGAAAACACAGGAAGAGAACTAACCATGGGCCAAGAAGCGCTCGGTAAGGTGATGAACGAGAATGGAGAATTGTTTGCAGAATTCTGTGCATTCAACGATTTGGTGATTGGAGGCGAGGCAGTGTGTTCAAGCACAAGGATATCCACAAAGTGAGCGACATGGATTTCACCAGATGGACACACTAAAAATCAAATCGACTTTATCTCAATCTCAAGAAAGTGCAGACGCAGTCTACTTGACACAAGGTCAAGAAGAGGAGCAGATGTAGGCTCACACCACTCACTATCTAGTTCAAGGAACCTTCCAAATCAAGTTGAAAGACTTCAAGGAAGCTGGTGATAGACCTCAACTCAAGTACAACACTCGGAAACTGAAGGATGAAACTACAAGAAAATCTTCACGGCAGCCATCAAGACTAAATGGGAGATATCCAGTAACATCCCTGAAGAAACCTGTGTGGAATAACACTGGAAGTCTTTGAAAGCTATGTGGAAAGAAACCTGCACAACAGTATTAGGAAGGAAGAAGAAAGAAGATAAGGAATGGATCTCGACGGATACCTGGAAGCTGATAGAGGAGAGGAGGATGGTGAAGCAGAAGATAAACCAGTGCATGGATGCTCAACGACAAGAGAAACTGAGTACAATGTACAAAACACTGGACAAAGAAGTGAAGAAGAGTGCACGAAAAGACAAAAGACACTTCTACGAAACACTGGCAAGTGAAGCAGAACAGGCTGCAGGTAAGAGAGACCTGACGACATTGTATCAAATAACCAGGTTACCAAGTGGGAGGGGAGAGATCAACACACATGAAACCAATAAAAGATGAAGAAGGAAATTTAATTACGAAAGAATGGGCCGACCACTTCAAAACGCTCTTGAATCGACCACCACCACCACCTGCACTTCATCCAGAAATACCACCTGCAGCCGCTGAATTACAAGTGAACATAAATCCTCCAACAAAAGTTGAAGTCCTGAATGCCATAAAACTACTGAAATGCAGGAAAGCAGCAGGACCAGACAGGATCCCGCCAGAAGCACTGAGAACAGACGCAGAGACAACAGCGGACATGCTCACACCATTATTGCAGAAGGTGTGGAAGGAAGAGAAGGTACCTGGTGATTGGAAGAAGGGTTACCTTGTCAAACTGCCGAAGAAGGGAGACCTCAGTGTTTGCGAGAACTGGCGCGGAATCACTCTCCTGTCCACCCAAAGCAAGCAAAATATTAGGCCGCATCATCCTGGAGAGGGTTGAAAATGCACTGGATTCAAAACTACGACAGGAACAGGCAGGCTTCAGGAAGTACAAATCATGTGCAGACCGAATTGCAACGCTTCGCCGATGACTTGTGCCTGATGTCACATAAACTTGAAGATCTACAGGCGAAAACTAACAAGTTGTCAGAAGAGGCAGGGCAGCGAAGACGGGACTTCAGGTGAATATAGAGAAGACAGAGGTGATGAAGATACACACCACCACCAACAACAACAACAACAAACTCCAATCACCGTCAACCGGAGAAACTTAAAGGAAGTAACCTCCTTCACCTATCTAGGAAGCACTGTTTCAACTACAGGCGGCACAGACGAGGATGTCAAAGTCAGAATCGGAAAAGCAAGACAGGCGTTCATTAACCTGAAACCAGTGTGGAGATCTGCACTCAGCATGCGGAACAAGATACGGATTTTCAACACCAACGTCAAGTCAGTGCTTCTGTATGGTTCAGAGACTTGGTGCGTTACGAAAGGGATTTCCAACAAACTACAGACATTCATCAACAACTGCCTACTCTGGCTCGCTACTGAAGATCAGATGGCCAGAAAAAATAAGCAACAAGGAGCTCTGGGAACGAACCAACCTATCACCCAACAAGTGTGCAGTAGAAGGAAGTGGAGATGGATTAGGCAAACACTGAGAAGGCCGACTGGGGACATCATGCGTCAGGCCAAGCCCTCGAGTGGAATCCCCATGGGAAGCGACGAGTTGGACGTCCGAGGGTGACATGGAGGAGATCGTGCTAGGAGGAAATGAGAGCTTGTGGGCTGTCGTGGAGCCAGGTTCAAAAGATATCAGAGAAGAGTTCACTGGAGACGTGCTACTGAAGCCCTATGTTCCACTGGGAACCCAAGGGACTAATATTAAAATAATAATATCAGTCAGTGACGCATAGTGACCAGAGGATTTCAGGCTTATGAGCGCATAGTTTTAAAGAAGGTTTTTCCTTATTTTTCCGTATATGACTGTAACCAAATTTATTCAGTTTTTATGTGATATGGTAATTAAGTGATAAAAGCATTGCTGTCAAACGCTTAGTAAGACTTGGAATTTGAGTGCCCTAATTTAAGAACGTGAACTGAAAGGCTATTTAGTAATAACATTATGAGTTGAATAGTCGTCACTTAACACATACTGCTGACGCTATTCTCACTACATAAGTAAGATTCTGTTGGGAATTCAAAAAAAACAACCCAGTAATCAATGTTTTGAGGTTTCATTAAATGAAGAGAAATCCTCTGTATCCATTCAAGTCTAGTTGGAAAACATCTTGAACTAAAGATTATCCGCGATAAGATTAGAATATTTTTTAATGTCGACTTTTCCAATAGCAATGAGTCAGTTTAACAGTATCAAAGAAAAGACATTCATGGGAAATGATTTGGCGTGAAAAGGAATAACAACATATCGAAAAATAAAATAGATTGTTATACATACATAGTAATGAGTGGTGTAAGATAATCTATTGAAGCTATGAGTATTCCTATCTGAGCTATTCCATAGCATAGTAGTTGAGCTCTTAACGGTTCACCGCGTTTTGTAATCACCTTGAATTTATCCAAGAAAGGCATAACATTGTCTTGAGCTATTGCTTGTAAGAGACGTGGTGCACCTGCGAAATAAAAACAATGAAAATGATAACATCTTATCAGACGTGTGCAAACAGCACGTCAGACGAAACGTAAAAAGCAGAAGTGAAAACAAACAGCTATGTTGTTATTCAGTGGTAAAAGTGAAATTGATTAAATGCAATGATTCCCTAGTAGTTACTACACATTGGTCAGTAAATAATATTTGTATTACTTTGCACAAAAGTTCTACCTGAATCCACTGTGGTTATGGATACAGATTTGCGTAAACTAAGGAAAAGAAAATTGTCCTAATAAACAGTTTCATCATACAAGTATTTCGACTGATTCTAATCAAAATATTCGCACCTCTAAACTTGCCTAAGTAGAATGACATTCTTGATGAGCATAACACAGTGATTTCTGTTACATCCGTTACTAAATATCACTAGTTGAGTTAATATTCCGCTAAAACATTAGACGAAAATCAAGCTCAAAATATTTTGCTTCGAGCATATTTCAATCATTAGAATTCACCGTGATATAAGAATTCATTTTCACCCCCAATAATATCACTTTTCCAAAGAAATAAGAATAAAAACACTGACTTTTATACACTGAATTGTACATTCTATAAAAAGTAACACCATAGAATTAGCATTTCATTCACTTGGGCAGACAGTCAAGATATACGTGTTTTATTTTTCTCATTTATTAACTATGAATGAAGACTGGTGTATTCAAATGATATACTCGGCGATTTTGATAGTATTTGTCTTAGGTGACACATAGTATCATTTATCGTTCGTTTCAGTTAAGTTGTGATGTGATATTCCCACACCTTTAGAACAGTTTAAGCGAATACACATTACAATATAATGGAATAAATACTGTAGTTTTTCGAAAGCCCATTACTAATCCATTCTTAGTTTTCTTCTTCATGAATACTTTAACTATACGTAAGTAAAAAAGATATTAATATTTAGGTACAATCGGTGAATTTCATAAGTTTTTCTTAGATGGAAAAGAGTGATATGTTGATCAAGCGAAATTCATAAAGCATTTTCACAGAAAGAATCGGTAGACGTACTGTTTTTTGCGAGTAGGTATAGTAACGACTGGCTACACTCTCAGAGACCACACACAAACAACCGGAGAAACAAGCATATCGACAATATACATAACACATAGATAATAATTATTCTATTAGAAGCATTCATCATTCAAGCAGAAGTATAATATTCGGTACATGAATAGTGAGTGAAAATTAAACCCACTGTGTAATAAATCGGAATTAATAATGGCAAAAAACCGCGAATAGGAAAAAGAAGTGTAGACACAGGAAAGAAGTATAACATTTCACTGTGTAAATCAAGAAATTAGGGCTTCAACTTAAATACTGATGAGAATATTTCATCAAAAAGTGACCAAAATTAAAATTCATAGGAGAAACAAGTTACGACTGTTGCATTCTGAAGTCATACATATAGAAGTGAGGTAGAAGACTGATGAAGAGGTTTGAAGTGTGCAGGTCAGACGGGTAAACAATGAACACAGAGGAATGCCATTGGCTCGGATTAAGGTAAGCATATGAAGATAATACGTCAGACCTACTGTCATCAATTATGCATCAAGTCGTCTAACAGCTGTGATCACAATTTATTTCTATCACATGCTTTCGCTAACCAACCCTCAGACTTTCATATGCTTGACACCAGTTCATCCTCAGATTACAGAATTCAGACTTAAATAAAGTATGAATTACCATGGTAAACATGTTGAAGCTGCTTTAATCAATTAGAATTCTCCACATACATTTCGTTGACATTTCTATTCATACAGAAGTTAGTGATGACAATTTTTACGAATGATGAAAAATGACTGCACCGTGTAAAAAAATCCCTTTGCCTAATAGATAGCTAATTTAAGAATAAACCATGTGATTAGAAAGTATAAATAATGCCTTAGGGATTTTGTTAGGTCATATGACTAGTGCTTTGCGGCCAAAAAGTTATTTTTTAGCAACGATCATTTATAGTGAAGTAGCAAACTTTACTTCAGATCAAAACACATTAAACCCTATTTAAAAAGACTTGGTACATATCTTTCTCCTACTGAACACGACTAATTATTGGTTATGATTATTTTGAAATATGTCTGTTATTCCATGATTGAGAGTTTGATTTTCAACGTTTGTTGGTGAAACCAAGCAAGTGCAAAGGTGTGCTTCACTGAGAGAGTGATTAGCCTGTAAATCAGTGACGAAAAATTTATTCAGGTCCATAGACTAGTAGCTTATGGACATAAAGTAAGAAACTGACATCTTCTAACCCGTCGGAATGGGAAGTTAAACAATTTTTTGTCACCTACATGTACTATGAAATAATATCGGTCTTAGAAATAGATAGGGAAGAATAGTACATTATATACACCATTTAGCTTACATCTAACTAAGCATTTATTTTGACTTCAATTTGTGTTATCTTGTAATAGTGAATGCTTGTAAGATTTTTATTTCGACATCGCCTGATGTAAATAAGGTGTATCACTTACTTTGTGTAAAATCCATTATTTATTGTAATTTGATACTGTTGTAAGCTTTTTATAAACCTTTGTTTTTAAAAAAATCCTAAAGTTCTCAATTTTTTTAATTTGTAAAAAAGACCAGGTATATACATGATGCTTAAAGAAATATTTTCTTTATGATTACAATAAATATAACTAAGAGCACGGTTTCACTCGATTTTTCTATGTTTAGTTATCAATAATGAAAACATAGTCAAGTGCTTTCAGTGGTTTTGCATTCAAAGGTTGAGTATGAAAATGATCACCTAAGCAAATAGGTCAGTTGGGCGTAAAGCCCATGTATTACATTTTTAAAGGCCTTAAGTACTGCCAAGGTGAGATAATAGTGTGCCGATATGTCCACATGTTTTGGCAGCTTAACAGCCTACAAATGTTTGCAACCTACAAATGTACAGAAGATAACAGAGGGCTGTGGTTGATTAGATAGGGAATTGCCTTCTTCTTTCAATACCCAATGACGCAAATGAACTTTCCAACATATGCATAAGATACAGTCAGGCAATCGGCATGACAGTTGCAATAATAATCGGTCAGCAGCGATTAACAGACATTTGCAGTACAAAGTGACAGCTACTGTATGAGAAACGATACTAATATCCAAGTGTATGTGCAGGAGTCAACTGGTAGATATAATACACTTACCATCCAGCACAGCCTTGTATCATTCCATGTAACCAGACTCAACATCAAAAGAAGGGGGACCTCAAGTAAAAGATTCACATTGAAAATAGTGGAGAACCAGAGCGGAGAAAACCAACATGAAATTCATATAAGATAGCAGCGAAACTTTGAAAGGAAGAGGGAGAATAAGGATTTGATCGCACCTATATCACTTTGATCTATTGTGAACTGTGAGGATGCATTCCGATATTCATATGGATTCTAATCATCAGAAGGTCAAGAGCACTGGATACTACTGAAGTCAATAACCAGAATCGTGATGGACTAGCGTAATTTTTCGATTTTAGCCTTCTGAGACAGCTTACACCCTGTACCAAATTATTAAACAGAAGTGTTTTAAGTTAGTGATCTAATGATGCCCAGTCAGGTTTTCCCATTATCACGACCCACAGCTCCACACTAATACAAAATCCAATCTATTTCGCAACAACATTTTCCACAACAATCATTTAGACAGAAATCAGTTCACCCATTCATTTTTCCCTAGTTGATCAAATGACATATTGTGATTCTACTTTCACTAAATTAGTAACACGAAAATGTTTGACAGATCTTTGAGTTAAGTTAAACTGCACTATCTATTCATATATATAATTTATCTATCCTTAAAATGAAGTTATAGGATGAGATTACAGATTGATTATACACACGAGGTAACAAAAAGAAATGCAAAATAATAACAGCCCGTTGAAACAACTGACTATAAAATGGGTGAAATGAGGACAACAAAACTTTTTATCAAAATCGACCTAGTAAGATGATAATTTTTAATCTAAAATAATGGTTCAAACAAAAAAGGGTTATTTACTATTTATTTCAGTAAAGATGTAAGTTCATCAAAACCCAGGGAAAATAAAATCAACTAATGACTAATACACATAAAGATAACCTAACTGATGGGTGAAAAAATTAGACTTTAGAAGAAATTAATGCACATTAAGGTAAAGCCTAGCAAATGAAGGAGAAATATTGAGAGAGTATGAGGAATAGGGGATGAACCAGACAACTTTCTGAAGTACCTATGACTGTTAGTTCGAAGGTCACAATCTTGCAAAACATCACAAAGGATATTTGACAATTTCTCTAAATTACATTATTAAATGCAGAATTTATGACCTAGAAAAATGAAGTGCACTACAAATTATCCAAATACTGGAAGATATATAATGTTGAATAGAACCGATAATGAACTTATAGGGGTCGCCAAAAAGACTCAGTCTTAATTAGCACCAATATGAAAGAAATGATGTGAGTTGGAGCACTTGTGAATTAGAAGACAAGTGTTGTGTTTTATAAGGCGAACAACACTAGGTAATTAATAATAGTACGGAATGCAGTAGGTTGATATGTGATAATCAACTTTTATACACAATCAAGTCTTTTAGGGGTTGACCTTTATTTGGAAGATTAGCAAGCGAAGTACTTAGTCACGAATAATTGAATATTCAGATGAAGTAATTTCATCACAAATGTAAACATACCTTACGTATAAATAATCGCAAAGAAGCGAGGAGTTTATGTTTGTGGGTTCACTGAAGGCTGCATAAGAACACTTAATGCCTATCATAAGTTTAACAATTGACTTTAACATTGTGGTATTGCAAACTTTGTGTAACAAGGCATAAAAAAGAGTAGAACATGACAGCGAATTGAAATTATCAAGAAGGTTTACATTTGCACAAACCAGTTTTCACTATGACGATAATACCACCCTGTAGAGCCGAAAAAGTTACGTGTAAATACTTTAAGATACTTAGAATTTATCCGTTACTGTCTT